TACCAAAAACATGGTTGAGCAAAAAAATGTTAATGAGATGGGAAGAATGGGGTGGGTGTGAATCTACCTCTCTATGAAGGACAAAACCTAGAGGATTTCCCAATCAAATTTTATCAGCATTTCCAGTAGCAGGTAATTTCCATCTCATTCAGGTTGACACAAAGAATAGAAAAAAGGGAACGGAAAAGAACACTCAACCTCTTTTAAGAGGATAATACAACCTACAAAGCCAAACCAGACAGGGCCAGCATGTGGATGAGCCTTGAAAATATGATGCTCAGTGAGAGAAGCCAGACCCAAAAGGTGACATAGCACAGGCCTGTTTATAGGAAACGTCCAGAACCCGCAGATTCACAACAGACAGGAGGCAGATTAAGGGGCACCTCTGTGGCCGTCCCCCACCATCTCTGACATTGGATCTTATAACCACCCTCGCCCCACTCCCTCCAGACTTCCTGTTTCTGGAACACATATCCGCCTCAGGCCCTTTGTACTTGCTGTTCCCTCTTCCCCAGCGTTTTTCACCCACACACCTGTACAGCTCACTCACCCCTTTCCATCTTTCAAGTTTCTACCCAAATGTCTCCCTGTTCACAAGGCTTCTTTTGACTAATATAAAGAGTGACTCATCTTTCCCCCAACCCAGCATGCCTTTCTCTCCTACTCAGCTTTTAGTCCCCAGGAATTTAGCACCATCTGTTTGGTTTATTAGTTGGTTCTGTGTCCCCTCCCCCTACTTCCACATCAGCGAGGAGGAGGCTTTGTTCTTGGCAAGGCATTGTCTCTAGCACTTAGGCCAATGCCTGGCACTTAGCTGCGCAACTACAAATTAATCTACGAACACAGCAAACACAATGCAATCCCAATCGAAGTCCCAAAGAGATCTTTTGTGAAGCGTGACAAGCTCATGAAAAGATTCACGAACTCCTAGAGGCAATTCAGTGGCATTTAGCACTTTTCATAGTGCACAAAGTGCTAGATGCCACTGACTTGTCCCTTTAAAGTGGTTAATTTTGTTAGGCAAATCTCATTTCCAAAAAAACAGTGTAATACCATTGCACACCTAGTAGAATAACTAAAATTTAAAAGACCGACCACATGTGACCCCGAGGACGTGAGAAAACGAGAACACATACATTGCTGGGGAAGGTCTGTACCTCACGTGTGATACAACCCATTCCAGGGCCAGGTATTTACCCAAAATAAATAAAAGCATATGAACAGATTTATACATAAATGTTCATAGCAGCTTTATCTGTAATAATCAAGAACTGGAAACAACTCAAGTATCTGTCAACAGATGAAATGGGTAAATTAATTGCGGGCTAGCCGTACAATGGAATACAGCTCAGCATACAAATGAGAAAACTTTTAAGGCATGCAACGATATGTACGTATCTTAAAATAATTGTGTTGGGTAAAATCTGCCAGACCAAAAAAGGTATCTACTATATGATTCTAGAAATGCAACTGGTCTATAGTGTCAGAAGCCAATCAGTGGTTGCCTAGGTAATGGGGGGGGGGAGGGGAGTTACAAAGTGGAGAATAAAAGAACTTTGGGGGAAAAGCCTTGAAAACATGATGCTCAGTGCAAGAAGCCAGACACCAAAGGCCAGCCATGGTAAGATTCTGTTTATACGAAATGTCCAGAACAGACAAATCCATAAGGACAGAAGACAAGTTAGTGGTTGCCAGGGCTGGGCGGGAGGAGTGGGGAGTGACGGCTAACGCATGGGAAGCTGGTTTCTTTCGAAGATGAAAATATCTTGGAACTACTTGGAGTGGTGGTTGCACAGCATTGCAGACGGACTGCGTGCCAGCGAACTGCACACTTAACACAGTTAATGGTTAATTATATGTGAATTTTTCCTTGATAAAAAAAATGAAAGAATGGTGACCAGACACACACACACACTCCTCCGTCCCCCCCATCTTCACCTCTGAAGCCCCTGCCTCACCCCACCCAACCCTCTCCCAGCCACATTCCCTGCCCACCAGAATTTCACCAGGTGCCAAGACCTGCATCCGCCGTCCTCGTCCTCCTCCTAGTGGGTTCCCAAACACCCCCTCTTTGACACCTGGACCCTCCCTGCAGATTCCTGGAGGTGAGTCGCTGGGCTCACTGCACAGGACAGGAAGGGCATCTGGCAGCACAGAATGAGCACTGCTCGAAGGGACAACGAGCTGCCACCGCCGTGCCCACGTGGGACAGACCCTGTGGTACAGATGACAAAGCTGCACCTGAGAGAGCGAAGCCGCTGCCCGTGGTTCGTCAGCTGGCTCACTGGGTGGGAGTCCCCCACCCTGGCCTGCCCCTCTGTGGCAGCTGGTCTGCAAGGATGGCCCCACAGAGCGGGCCCTCCCAGTGTTCACAGCCCCTCAGCTCCACGCACGCTTCGGGGCTAACCCAGGACTCCATCGAAGCTGCCGCAGAAGTGATGCCGGCCCAGGTCCAGGGAGGCCTGAGCTTTAGCAAGTCTGAAGGCTCCAGCTCTGCACGTGAGAGCCCTGAGTTGGAGAGGCCAGAGAGGGAAAGGCCCAGCTGTCCCAAGGCACCAGACACGACAGACATTCCAAATGGTGACATCCAGCCAGCTCAGCCCCCAGAGGACAGCAGCCGCCATCAGGTGGAACAGCTAGTCATACTGGCATAAAAACAGACACACGGATCAATGGAACAGAATAGAGAGGCCAGAAAAAACCCACACCTATATGGTCAATTAATCTATGACAAAGGAGGAAAGAATATACGATGGGGTAAAGACAGTCTATTCGATAAATGGTGCCGGGAAAACTGGACGGACACATGCAAAAACATGACACTAGAATACCTCCTTACACCATATAAATGAATAAACTCAAAATGGATAAAAGACTTAAATGTAAGACCCGAAACCACAAAACTCCTAGAAGAAAACATAGGCAGTAAACATTCTGACATTGCTCTTAGTAATGTTTTTGTTGATATGCTTCCTCCGGCAAGGGAAACAAAAGAAAAAATAATCGAATCGGACTAAGTCAAACTAAAAAGTTTTTGTACAGCAAAGGAAACCATCAGCAAACAGAAAAGACAACCTAGTGAATAGAAGATATTTGTCTATTAACATCCAATAAGGAGTTAATATCCAAAATATATGAAGTCATACAATATAAAAAAATAAAAAAGCAATCCAATTAAAAAATGGGCAGAGGACCTGAATAGACATTTCTCCGAAGAGGATAAATAGATAGCCAACAGACACATGAAAAGATGATCAACATCACTCGTGATCAGAGAAATAAAATTACAACCGCGATGTGCGATTATCACCATGTGCTATCACCACACACGGGTCAGAATGGCTATCACCAATAAATCAACAAGTGTTGGCGTGGATGTGGAGAAAAGGGAACCCTTGTGCACTGTTGGTGGGACTGCAAATTCGTGCAGCCACCATAAAAAAGTTTGAAGGTCCCTCGAAAAATTAAAACTAAAACTACCATGTGACCCAGCAATTCCACTTCTAAGTATCCGAAGAAATCCAAAACACTAATTCAAAAAGATCTATGCACCTCTATGTTCACTGCAGCATTATCTACAATAGCCAAGATACGGAAGCAACCTAAGTGCCCATCGACAGATGATTGGATGAAGAAGTGGTGTATACGCACACACATACACACACGTACACAATACGATATTACTTAGCCATAAAAAAAATGAAATCTTACCATTTGCAATAACATGGATGGACCTAGAGAGTATTATGCTACGTGAAATAAGTCAGACAGAGAAAGACAAATACTGTATGATGTCACTTACGTGTGGAATCAAAGGAACAAAATAAATGAGCAGACAACATGAAAACAGATTCACAGATACAGAAAACAAACTGGTGAATGCCAGATGGGAGGGGCGGTTGGGAGGCTGGGTGAAAAAGGTGAAGAGATTAAGTACAGGTTGGTAGTTACAAAACAGTCATAGAGATGTGAAGTACAGCACTGGGAAGATAGTCAGTAATATTGTAACAACTAAGTATAGTGCAGGTGGATACCTGACTACTCAGGTATATAACTTATGACTTCCTAAGTTATATAAATGTCTAACCACTATGCTGTACACCTGAAACTAATGTACTATTGCATGCCAACTGTAATTTAAAAATTCTTTAAATTGAAAAAAATAAAACATGATAGTCACATAAAAAAAAAGAGCTGCTGACCCAGAAGCATGGGAGCATTAGCAGTTGCGGAAACCCCTAAGCATGTGGTGGCTGGCTCCCCTGACGAGAACTCAAGGGACACCCCGGAAAGATCCAGATCCTCGCCCTCTGCTTGGGCGGCATGTGACACTCGCAGCTGGCCTCACAGCCTGTGGCCCACTTCGGCTGACTAGGCTTGAGCAAAAGGAGAAAGAGCAAAAACTTAAAAACGAGAAAACCCTGCTCTCTGGGATCTCCTTCCTGCCAACTGCCCCCGCTGTCCCATCTGTGGCAGAACACTGTGGCCAGTGCAAGGTGCACCCCGAGGGTGCCGAGGGAAGGCTTTGTAAGGAAGCGGGGCACCCTCTGCTCCGCCATCGGTCCAATGCCCCCTATCCTGGCTGTAGCCCACCTTCTATGCCTCGACTCCTGCTGCCCAATGGAGAACTCAGCCCCCAACGCACTGCCTGAGGCTCAGACTCCAAAACCACCTCAAGCACCTACCTCCACGGGGTAGCAGGGTTCCAAAGCCAAGCTTTACCCGCTCTAGGAAGGCCTCCTGCTGCACCCACTTAATCTATCCCCCCCCCAGCATCTTGTGTAAGGGGCCGGCTTCTTGCCAGACGTGGGAGCCCTGAGACCCTGCAGAGGACCCCGGGTGCTCCCCCAGCGCTGGGCTGCACAGGGCCAGCTGGTGGCAGACACCACCTCCAAAGATGTCAGCGAGGTTCCCAGCAGGCTACCTGGGCCCTGGCCACCCTAGTGATGAGAAACTGAGGGTCAAAGAAGAGGCTTGTTCTCATCACTCAGCATTCGGGGTGCATGTTGATTCCATTGTTATTTTTATTTTTCTGTATTCTTCATGCTCTGGCAACCAGGGTTTCCCTAACCAGGGACAAACTGTCCCTCCGGGTTAGCTTGTTCTTAGAGATAAGAAACGATTCTCCTTTCCAAAGCAAACCAACCAATCCAGAGCTCCTATTCCTCTGCCCCATTACTCCAGGGCCAGACAACTAGGGATAATATAATGTAAGCACCTGAGAATAAGTTCTCACTTGCCCAGGCATCCGTTGCAAAAGATATGTCTGTGGGGGCAGCACAAGTAATACGGACCCAGGTGAGTGTCTCAGGCACATCCCTGTCAACAGGCTACGACTTACACAACAGACAGCAACCCCATGCCTGCTCATCCTCGCTCACCCGTTGCTTCTGGTGGAAACTATAATGAAGCTCTGGCCCACACTCCTCCCAACACCGCCTCCTGACTGCCCTGGTGCTGCCCCATGTGGCTCTGAGTGACATGGTGTGCCCTCTTTTCTTAGGAATTATGATTTATTAAGTGTCTTTTCAATGGCAGTCTTCCCTGATCTACCAGCCTCACCATACTTGAATAAAACCTACATTTTAAAATGGGGTGGAGCAGAGATCAATGCAGGACACCCAGCTTCCATCTTAAAGAGTCAGTCGTGATGGATGAGAGTCCCCAGGACTCCAGGAGGCACTGTCCATGCTCTTTGCAGAAGCCTGTAGGTAATGCACACGGCCCTGCCACCCTGGCCCCACTGCTCCTGCTCCAGACCCCAGGAAGCCAGAAGCAGAATGGCTGATGGTGGGGGCCAGGGCTGGGTGCTCCAGCACAGAGGAGGGGCTGCAGCCAAGACCCCAGGCTGCCTGGGCAAGGGGAGACTGAGGCCCAGAGTCAGGCAGAGGATGTAAACTAACTTTAATCACCACCCTCAGATGGGGGCAGCAGGAGTGTCTAAGCATGCGGCCACCCCTGGGGGCAGCTGGGGGCCAGCCCCTTGGTTCCGGCCGGGGCGTGCTCCCCATCCAGGCTCCCCACATCCGGGGGAGGGCCCAAGCACCTCCAGTCTCCAGGTCACATGTGCAGGAGCTCAGGTCTGCAGTCTGTGTAGCCAGAAGAACCCATGCCTGAAGGCTGGTGTGTTAGTCACAGTGCACATGTCCCCATAGTTGCCACACTCAGGGCCCAGGTGATATGACAAGAGCTTGTCCTCAGAGCAGTGAGGACTTCCTCTCTGATAGCATCAGGGACTCCTTCACGGTCACCAGCAGCCCCAGTGGAGCACAGAGCCGGGATATCGCAAGCAGAACGGCAGCAACCAGACCTGCGCTTAGCAGTGCTACGGGGAAAAGACAAATGGGAGTAGGTGAGGGGGTGGCAGGAGCCCCCTCACTCGCCAAGCTCCTGACACACTGAGATGGGGGTCTGCAGCCTATTCCCTCCCCGAGCCCCAGCTCCCAGGAGGAGCTGCCCCAGGCCCCAAGAGAAGCAGGTGCGCCTGTTCATCATACCGGCAGCTACGATAACCCCGGAGGCATTTCTGTTTCTGGACTGAACTGAGTTCTGGTCGCCGACTAAGGTGGTTGTGGCATTCTTGGGATAGGTGACACTCTCCAGGGTCACTGAGGTCACAGGCGTCCCCACAGACGTGCCTTCCTGGAGGGTCTCAGTTCCTGTAATAAGTCCAGGCATTCATTAGCTGGAGACGGGGCACCCGAGGTGTGGCGATGAACAGATGTTCCAGGTGCCTGTGGAGGACCTTGTGGCTCATCTTCCATCCCAACATGAATGAGACTGGTGGGCACTGCTGCTGGGAGTGACCTCTCACTGCCCCCATGGAAATACAGACACCAGCATACGCATGTGTTTACACCCCCAGCCTCGTCATGCACTGGAAGTGTCAGGCATCCTTGTCTAATGACCACCCTCCCCACCGAGACAGGCATAATGCAGTCCCATGGCATATACCACAGCCAAGCTCATCACTGGAATCAGGACAGTCTGGGTGCCCATCACAGAGCCACGTGTGTGGGATGCAGGTACTGCTCAGGGGGCAGTGAAGCTCTCCTGCCCTGCAGGGCTGTCTGCTGCAGTTGAGAAGGTTCTTGTCGATTCCATCGTGGCAGTCATCGATGCTGTCACAAGAGCAGGGGTTTTCCATGGGCGGCGGGCACTGCCCATCCTGGGCACACGGCTCTATCTCTGAAGTACAGGGTCAGTCAGGTCCCAAACACACCCACAACAGGGCCCAGGTACTCTTCACGGCCCACTCCCCTGCAAGCCGCGCCTTCCAAGGACAGCGGAAGCTATAGGGCCCACCAGTACTAAAGGCTCCGCCCCTACCAGCAAGCTCCTTCTCCCAAGGCCCAACCACCTCTGCCTCCCTGTAAACCTACCTCTTCTCAAGCGTGAGACCCAGACTTCCCTCCTTGCAAGTCCCACCTACCCTCAGGCCCCATCCACAAGCACCATCTCCTAGGGTCCAGCCCCTGGGAGCCCCGCCCCCAGGCAAGGCCACTCACTGCACTCCTCATCGCTGCCATCAGAGCAGTCCTGGTCACCATCACAGCGCCAGCTGAGGGGCACGCAGAAGCCACTGGTGCGGCATTGGAATCCGGTGGGCATACACGAGTCTGCAGTGGATCCTACAAGATGCACACAAGTGAGGCCTGGAGTTTGGACCCCTCTCCAGAAGCCCAGTGGTCACAGGCCACGACCACCAGAAGACAGGCCAGGTCTCAGAGTACTGGAACTACATTGGTGGCCACCCTTTGCTGAGGACCCACTGTGTGTGGGGCTTGGAGCAGAGGAGTCCACGGCCTCACCACGAGGCTTCCCGCACAGGTTCCACTTCAATCCCCACTCCACAGCAGACACTGCAGAGAGGTTAAGGCCCAAGGCAGCAGAGCCAATGGCAGAGTCAAGGACCGAACCCAGGTCTCTGATCCTAGAGTCTTTACCAGGCTCCGAATAGCAAGGCAGTCTCCCCAGGAGTCTCTTCAAGCCCAGTAGTTAAACAGATTGGCGGAGGGGCCATCTCTGAACCTGCCCTGGATCAGGCCCACAGTCAGGGTCAGCAGAGCCTGTTCCATCCCACCCGCTTAGCAAAGGGGAAACTGAGGCCTTGGGTATGGGACCTGCTTTGTCAACTCAGCTCCTAAATTCCTCCCAGATCTGACCCACTTTCTCCACCTGGAATGTGCCACCTCCTCACCAGGCCCCACCCCCATCTCCATTCAGACACGGGAGACCTCTCAGATTAACAGCGTTTGGTCACCCACACCCTTGCCCTCTGCTCAAAACCATCCCTGGTCCCCTGACCCTCTCGACCAAATGCTATTTCCTCCGTGTGGCTGCAAGTCCTGGCCCAGCCCTGAACCTTTCCTGGAACTGCACCTCCTCCCACATGCTCTTCACCCAGCTCGCTCTGTCCTGGTCTCTTCGCCACATCTCTAAGAGGTCTGGATTGCTCCACCTCGGGGCCTTTGCCCATGCTGTTCCCCCGGCCCAGTGCACCCTTTCTTCCCTCCTCTCTGTACTGGTCATTTCCTCCTCAGCCTTCAGATCTCAGACTATTTCCTGGGTGGGATCTCATGCCCCTCTCAAAGACCCCTAAGTCTATTCTTCTTACTTATAACAAGGTCCTTAAACTGGTACCCGCATAGACTGGACACTCAGTGTGTCAGGGCTGACCTTGTGACCACAAGCCTAGGGCAGTGCCTGACAACAAGTAGACACAGGTCACACTAAGATGAGATTTTAACCTTTCTGGACCCTGGGCAGTGAAGCTCGGGTCCTTTGCTGATCGGGAGGGGCACAGAAGGGCCTGGAACCTGAGTGGTGCAGCAAGATGGGTGGCAATCACCTGGCTAGCCCCAGCCTAGCCCCACTCCATCCAATGCTGGTCCACTTCCCCTTTTTTACTCCAAACCCCGATTCTCCACGGTTGGCACCTCCGCAGGCCTCCAAGCCCAACTGCAGCTGTGGGTCACACAGTCCCTGAGCTCGATGGAGCCAGGAAAAGCTGTGGACAAGCTGGAGCCGGCTTCCTTTCCTGTCCATGGGGACAGGCAGCCTGTAGGCGAGGCTTCCGCCCCAGGGCTAGCTACTCCTGGCCTAGACAACCGACAACCTCCTTCCCTGGCCTGCTGCAGTGCGTGTCCCTCTGAAAAGTGAGCAGTAGAGCAGCTGCGGAGTCAGACGGGAGTTGGAGCAGCCAGTGACTTCTCCTCCCAGCCTTAGTTTTCTCACCTGTAAAAGGGGCAGTTAGGAGTCCCTACCTGACTGTCCTGAGGAGGAGACTGCATGTCTGTAAAGAGTTGGGTATTTGGTTAACATGGAGGAACCAGGAATGTTTAACCTGAAGGGACTTTGGAGTGAGGCAGGGGACCAGATAAAAGGGGAGAGCAGCGTAAATGTGTGAACCTGAGCTCACAGCTGAAAATCAGGGGCTCCTGTGCGCACAGGGAGGCCACTCCAACCCACCCAGTTGCCTCTGGGAACCTCAGACAGCCACCTACCTAATATTTAGGCCAGGGGTCACATGGGAGGGAAACTTTTCGTTCTCTAAGGCCGGAGGAGGAAGGTGCAGAGATTTGCGGGGTAGAGCCTCGCCCAGGGAAGAGCCACAGGGCCTCAGCTCAGGCACGAGGGTTTGAAAGGTGCGGCTGCTAGGGGAGGTACCAGGCGAACGGCCCCGCGCAGTTAGAGGTCCGACAACCAGAGCCTGCCGCGACCCTTCCTGTCCACGCTGGCTGAAGGGCGGCGTGGAGGTGACGATGGAGCAAGACAAAGCAAAGCAGGTGCGGAGTGTGAGAAGGGCCGAAGCAGGGTAAAGGCTGACAGAGTCCCCAGACTGAGGATGGCTCATCCAATGGCTGGGCTACCGAACCATTGGTCAGGAGCTAGGGGAGTGTCCCAGACCGACAAGTGGCGCAGCCCACGTCGAAGCATGGCCAGCGCGCGGGGATGAAGCTAGGCTGCCCGCGGAACTGGCGCGCGGGCTGCGCGGAGCTCACTCACCTGGGGCCTGAACCGGGGACCGGGTCGTAATCGAAGTCGGGGCGGCCTCCAGGCCCAGCCCGAAGCCGAGCAGCAACCACAGTGCCAGGTCCAGGGCCGCGGTCCGCTGTGATCCCCACAGTGCCATCCAGCGGCTCCACGCGCCGCCCCAGCCCGGCATAGGCTGCGCGCCCTCGGGGCCTGGCTTTTATCCCCGCGCACGCATGCGCACAGGCCGGGGCTGGGCCCACGCCTCCAAGTCTCCAGGTCCCGCGGCTCAGCCTACCGTAAATGCCCGACTACGAGGAGACCCACGATTTGAGGCTCTTCCCCCAATTTTCCCAATGAAAAAGTATACTGAATGGTTGAATGGTATGGATAGGGCCCACTTGAAATTAGAAACTTCTGGAGATGGAAACGAACTTGTAGGTGTCTACTCACTATATATATATATTAATAATATTTAACGTTCTATATGCGTCCTGCAGCAAATATACTAATTACCTTATTTAATATGGCAGCCGCTCCCCTCAAGCACACCCCATTCTCTCACCCTCCAAATGCTTCTTTTGTGCACTCGACAAATTATATATTTACTTATTTTGATTTAGTGTGATTCCCCACTGGAATATCAGATCTAGTTCTTGGCCTCCATCCTCGGCCCTCTGTCCCGGCACCCAGATGCGCTCATCCACGCTCACTCACGCTCACTGCCTCACTTAGCCCTCACGGACCCCTCACAGGGATGTGGGTATCACTCAGTTCCAGAACAAGGTATGTGATGGCAGTCCTGGGGTTTTCTCTACTCACACTCACCCAGGAGGTACATAAAATGAGACCTTCTGCAAGCTTTCTAGAAAGCCAATGTGACTGCTGTTTTCTTCTTGAAAATATTATCTACAGCTCTGCCTTCCAGAGATGCGTGTCCAACTGCCAGCAAGACCCCAGGCGAGTCACTGTCCCTCAGCGTTAAGACAGGTATGCAAGTGTCTACCACCCCATTTCCAATGAAGCTGCACTAAAGCATCTAGATTTTCACAGAAGAAACTATTTGCAGGTCGATGGCCTCCTTCACTATTTGAAAATGTTGGAGGTTATAGGTGCTTTTGGAGCAGACACATTTTCTGATAATCTCCCAGATTTCCATGGAAAATAAGATAAAGCAAAGGTGCACGCGTAAAGAGGCAGGTGGATAGGACTGCAGGGGGCAGGGGCGGCAAACGCCTCACTTTTGAGGCTTGGCATCTTGGTAAGGGAGACACCTGGGGTACAGGGAGAAAAGCTGAAGAAGCCATTCTTGGACTTTCTACGCCTCAGTTCTTCTGTCAGGGGGTATGGCAACAGCAATGACTCACAGGATTGCTCCAGGAAGGAGCTGAGTCATGAATAGAGAACGTTCAGGATAGTACCTAGCACACAGAAAGACCTCAGGTGTCAGACCTCTTTCTTACTCCACTTCATTAGCAAATTTCAAGTCTGGATCATAAAACTATTCCAAGACCTTCAATACGCATCTTGCCTGTGATCTCCCAAGGCCCTCCAGGGTTGCCCTCCACACACCCTGCCCAGCCTTCCTCCCTCCTGATCTTCCTGAACCAGTCATCATGTGCCCCAACCAAATCCCACCTCCTCCAGGAAGTCTTCACAGGGGCTTCAGCCCACGGGGCTCACTCCCTCTGATGAGCTTTCAGCGTTTGACATGCCCACTCTGCGACACTTATACCTCCTGCCTGCGACTGTGACCCTTTCCTGTCTGGCTCTCTGCTTCCACTCTCCTGGCACACAGCTGATCTTAAGCTACTGAAGGGCTAGAGTTCTTCTATGGGACAGCCACAACACTCCCCACTTGAGGTCGCTGCATGGCTCCCCACTGCTCCTGCAGCCAGACTGAGGCCACTTCCCTTTCAGCTTTCACTCTCCTTTTCATTCCTCCGTCCTTTCCTGGGCTGGCTCTGCCTCGCAACCCCAGGCGCAACCCCAGGCCCAAGCAGAAAGGTTTCTGGCTCAGGGACGCCTTTTCTCACCTGCCCTGGGTGAGCTTTACCCATGAGCCACCCTGCTGTCTTCTGCTGAGCTGCAGGGTGGTCAAGGTCAGGCAGGTGCTGCAGTGGGAGGGTGCTGGCCAATGACCACATGAGCAGTGGCTGAGGGAGCTCTCAAGAGGGAAGTGAGCAGTGTGTGTTTGGCCCCGTTGTCCTTCATAGTCAGTGCCCCCAAGCCTGCAGAGGCCCTGATGCCCAGCCCACCACTCTCACAGATAGAACCAGGTCCTTAGGGAAGGGACGGGGACCTCTCTGGGCCCCCTTCAACATGTCATCTGATTGTGCCATGTCACCCTAGAGCCCAAGGACCACTATCCCTCCCCTCCTTCTGGACTGCTGACAGAATTAAGAGATTTGATCCCAACTTCACCCCGAAATCCAAATAAGCCATGTGTCATTTTAAAAGTAAAAATGAAGTGATACCAGAGCTCACGATATATTTGTCATAAATTAGCTCATATTCTCCCAGTAGGAAAGACAAGGAGGGGCAACACTCAGGTGGCCCTGAGGGCACAGCCAGGTGGCCCAGAGCACAGTGTCACAGGTAAGGCTGGTCCTGGGACAGCTCCCACCTCTGTATGGGAGGAGCCGGTGTCACTGCTTTCTTCTCAGTGGCTTCCACAGCTGAGCTGGAAGAGGAATGAAATACTAGGGTTAGGGCCAGGTTTCCAAAGAGCAGTGTGGAGGGACCTGAGAGGGACCGCACCTGCCCTGGCACAAACACACCTGTTCAGACTAGATCTGGAGCTGGAGGCCAGAGCGCAGAGTGTTTTAGAATGGGGTCCCCAACCCTTAGGCCGCGGACTGGTACCGGTCCATGGCCTGTTAGGAACCCGGCCGCACGGGAGATAAGCGGCAAGTAAGCGAAGCTTCTCCTGTATTTGCAGCTGCTCCCCAGCACTAGCATCACCGCCTCGGCTCCACCTCAGATCATCAGGCATTAGAGTCTCATAGGAGCACTGGTCCCTGATGCCAAAGACGTTGGAGACCACTGTTTTAGAATATCTAAACCCCTCCAACGGGGTCCCCCCAAGGGTCAGCCTATTCTTGCTGGGGGCTGGCCAGCCCCCTTTCTACCCTGAGGTCAGCCTGCCCGCCCTGGCTTCTTGGCCCAGAACTGGCTATAAATAGCTGGGCTCCTCTTCTAGCATCCCAGCCCTAGGGTAGACAAGCACCCCACTCCAAGCCCCCAAACGAGATACTGGCAAAAGGGCCAAGCAATCAGGTGATATATGCCCACTGCTCTTCTCACAGGTGCTGAGCACCTGCTACACAGCAGGAACTGCAAGTGGGCACAGCACTAAGACCAGGCCCTGGCCTCAGTCTGATGCGGCAGAGTCAATGTGCAACTGAAAATACACCCTTTGGCCCAGGGTTGGCCCCAGGTAAACCCCAAAGAGTCATTGCCAGCATATCCAAGGTAAGTGCCACCCCCACACACACCTGAGCCCCTGGGGCCTAGGCTTAGAGAGGCTTGCACACACTATAAAAGAAAGAGAGGCGGGTGGGCAGGCTCTCACTGAGGAGGAGGCCACAGGTTCGAGGGCCTCCCACTCTCCCAAGAGTGTAAAGAGGTAGAAGAGGCAGAAGGCAGCCTCCCTAGGAAATGCAGACATCCGGGACAGATGGTGTGGGAGAGCAGAGCTTTTGCCCCAGTCTGGTGCTAGATTCTGGTGAATCTGAAGGCAATAAGGACTACGACACAGACCATTCACTGAGTTCTAAGTTCACAACAGACCCTGGCTAGCCTTATCACCTTACAGATCTCATCACGCTGTAAGCCCACTGTCCCCATTTTACAAATGAAGAAACTGAGGCTGAAGGACTGGCCCCAGACCACATGATGAATCAGCTGTAGAGCCCAGATACCGATGCAGAATATAGTTTGACATCCTGCTTCTGCCACCTGCTGTTTGAGTGACCCAGGCAGGTTACTTGGCCTCTCTGTGCCTTGATTTCTTCTCTTGCAACAGGGGCCATCACTGCCTAACTCATAGCATTATTAGGAGATGCACATGGCACTGACACCATTCTAAGACCTCACAAATATTGAGGATAAACCCTCATAACAATTTTGCTATACACTGAATGTCTGTGTCCCCGCCCCCTAACAAATTCATGTTGAAATCCTAACCCCCAATGTGATGTTATTAGGTGGGGCCTTTGGGAGATGCTTAAGTCATAAGGGAGGAATCCCTGTGAATGGGGTAAGTGCTGTTACAAGAGACCCTAGAGATCCCTTGCCCCTTCCACCATGTGAGGACACAGCAAGATGCCATGTATGAACCAAGAAGAGTGCCCTCACCAGACACGTAATCGATCAGCACCTTGATCTTGGACTTCCAGCCTCCAAAACTTTAAGTTTCTATTGTTTATAAGCCACCCAGACTATAGTATTCTGTCATAGCAGCCTAAATGGACTACTCTTTAAAAGTTTTTACCCCTATTTAAGAGAAAGCACCTGAAGCTAGGGAACAAACCAAGTTTTGAGAGGCGTGAGGCTTATACAGTTCTCTTTTTAAAATATGAAGAAATTCTGTGTGTGTGTGTGTGCGTGTGCACACACATCCAATGTTATTCATCCATAAAAAAGAATGAAATCTTGCATTTGTGACATGGATGGACCTTGAGGGCATTTTGCGAAACGAAATAAGTCATAGAAAGATAAGGACTGTATGTTCTCATTTATATAAAGACTACAAAAAAAAAATTTCTCATCAATACAAAGAACAAATTGGTGGTTGCCAGGGGTGGAAGGTGATGGGTAGGGAAAAGGGGTCAAAAGGTACAAACTTCTATTTATAAGATAAATAAGTCCTGGAAATGCAATGTACAGCATGGTGATTACAGTTAACAATACTGTATAGCTGGTTTGAAAGTTGCCAAAAGAGTAGACATTAAAAGCTCTCATCACACACACAAAAAAATTAACTATGTAAGGTGATCAACGTTAACAGCACTTACGGTGCTGTTTCGCAATATATACGGTGATCATTTCACAATATATACAAGTATCAAATCATTATGTTGTACATCAGGAACCAATGTTATATGTCATATGTCAATTTTACCTCAATATTTTAAAAAAGATTACAAAATTACAATACAACAATACTTGGGCTTCTCCCAGGACCCTTTTAGGGATCCTAGAGCTTTGTCTGCCTTGCAGGAAACCAAGCCCTGGCTGAGGCCCTAACTCCTACACTGCGCTGGGTTATGAGCTTGCAGATGAAAAGCTGCTAGCAGCACAGCTGACACAGCTGACACTTGATAATGGGTCCTTAAAAAGCACAAGCAAGAGAAAGGGCTGGCTGCAGAGGGGTGTGTGGGATCCTTACCTTCCTGCTGGCTTGCCTGACACCAGTGCCTTCTGTGAAGACATGACGATCGAAGGTGGCATGGATTCCCGGCGGCCGTCACGAGTGCAGTAGTAATTGTTGGAGAGCTTGTGGCTGGGGCCCACCGGGAGCCTGGGAGGAGGCTGAGTTCTGAAGAGAAAAAACCTCAGCATTGAAGAAAAACCATAAGTGCTCTCACTGCCTGGCCTTAGTCACTGGGACAGGCTGCAGACCAGAAGTATTCTTTGGTACACTGTCATGGAGGGACATGCCCAAAAAGGTCCAGGGCCTAGAAGCAGGTGGCAGCCCAGGCTTTGGATATCAAGTGTGGAAAGGTGAGGCCTGGGTCTGTCCCACTGCAGATCCCTCACCTTCCACCAATGTGGTGTGTATGGACAGACAACCTTTTGTGAAACCGCCTAAAAAAGCAGCAGGCGCAGACTGGACACCTAGGCCTGTTCCCACCCTACCATGGCCCAGAGCTTGGCAGCTGGCCTCACCTGCAGATGCTCAGGAAATGAAGAAGCCGGGGTGTGAGGCTCTGCCCACCACGTATCCAGTAGTTAAGTTAGTAAACGTCTGGGCAACAAGCTCCAAACGTAGCTCATTCTGAGGGGCTTCCTGCCTAAAGCCCAGACTACAGAATTCTTGGGTTTCCTGTTATCTCAGGAACTCCCTGGAGAACCTTCTGGGATCAAGGCTTATTACTCAAAGAGCACGCTGTTCCCCAAGCCTCCGAGGCCTCTGCATTTCCTGCCACCTCATTATAGCTGCAGCCAGAGAGAGGGGTGAACAGAGCTCAGTCCCGAATTGAGCTAAATCCTGGGGTGAATTTACAAAGAAGCTGGAAGCTTGAAAAAGAAACCCCAACCTCAAAACAAAAGAGGAGCTTCCCTAGAAAACAGCAGAGAGGGAGGACAGAAAAGATGAGGAAAAAATCACTAAAAGATAACATTTTCATTCCTGATAAACCATTCTGTGGTTTAAAAAACACGTTTTTAAATAACCTTTTTGTCTAATCATCATTTTGCCAGGATTTAAGTTTTTCTTAAAGCACATGATAGCCATTGTATACATATGTATGTGTACATGTGTATATGTATGTGTGTATGTGTGTGTGTGTGTGTGTGTGTGTGCGTGTGTGTGTGTGTATCTTAAGAGAAATACAGGTAAAAACAAATTTTTAAAACTTGATATTCAAGGTAATACCCTGTCTGGAAGTTAGAATGTGCTTAACCCCTGAAGTGCAGAGATGACCTCTGTAGGCATGGCCATAGCTTTCTGCAACCTAGCTTATAAAAGGTAGAAAGTGCTAAACGGAAAGGCCGAAATGAATCACACCAGTGGGCACCATTATTCTAAAGCTGAAAATTTTACAAAACCATTTCCTCAATCTGCCCAACTACCCTGGATGGAAAAGCAATTTAAAACTCTTGATATTAGGCACTCACATGCAGGCACTCACATCAATTGGTTATTTTAATGCTATTTTTCTTCTTTCCCTGCTAACCCTCCATGGCTGCCTTGCCTTTGCCTGTCCCTGATTTTGTATAACTGCCATCCCCCTTTCCTCCATGTGTTTCAGCCACACTGGCCTCCTCTCTACTTCTGACACTGTTGGACCTCACAGCCTTGGTGCTTACCGTTCCCTCTGCCCAGATGTTTTTTCAGTAATTATCCTTTGGCTCCTTCTCATCATTCAAATAACTCAAATGTCAATCCCTGAAAAATAGACTTTTCCTGACCCGAGGTAGCAACTCTCCAGCTTACTTTCATTCATTTTGTCTTCAGAGCATTCCAGAACGTTTTTTATTTCTCTGTTTATTTCTCTCTGTTTCGCTCTCCCTAGGATAGGAAGGAATGAGGACGAGAACTGTTCTTTTTCTCACTGGTATCCCCAAGGCTGAGGACATGGCAGGGGCTTGTAAATATCAAGTAATTTTTTTGAACATAAATGAGTTTAAAATAAAGACACTTCTGGGTTCAAGTCCCAGCTGTCATTTTCTATCTTCTGAGCAAATGATTAAGCAAACGATTTAGTCTCTCCACACCTCAAATTTTTTTCACCTGTAGCTTGGGGATGATAACACTAACTGGCAAGGCTACACCAAGGACTGCAAATCATAATGAGAATTCCCACTCAGAATTCACATCCAATCTGGATGTTTCATGAGAAGCAGTCACCAGAGTCCAGGAAGATTAAAGGCAAACTTCTGCCTCCACAGCCTGCCAGGGGGCTGAAGGCAAGACTTTGGCCCAGGACTTCAGGGGTCTAAAGGAACAAGAGTTTTGTTTTTGGTGGAGGAAGGAGAGAACAGGGCGAGGGTTTGGGCAGCGAGCGGGGCCTGCTCACCGCTTGGAGACCTCCTGGTAACGCAGCTGGAGCTTCGCCTGCAAATTTTGCTGTAGGAAGAGAGGAAGAAGGTCAGCCAGCAGGTTGCCCCAGGAGAGGGGAGGTTCAGCCCGGGGATGAACAAATAAAGAGAAAGCGGGAGATGGACAGCTAGGGGCAAGGATACGTGCCCTATGAAGAGAGAGGTCAGGGGCCGGAGACACCAGATCCAAGGCTAATAAGGTCCGGGACTAGAGAGACGCCAGGTCTGAGTGCGTCTCCGGCCAAGGGCTGGGGGTGTGTCCCGAGCTGAAGGGGTCAGGAGGAGTTGAGGATGAGCGAGGGGTTCCGGCCCAGGGCGATCTCGGCATTAATGCTTTCAGGCTCAGGGTGAAGGAAGGAGTGGAGGGGCGGGTTCTGGGCGCAAGAAGCCCGCAAATCCCCAGTGCTGCCCTTTCCGCTCGCGCACCCCGGAGGTCCAGTTCCGTAGCTTCTGGATTAGGCGAGTAGCAGACGCCATGTTCTGACCGCGATGAAGGGCGCCGGCGACGTCGCTACCCCGGTAGCTACTGGGAAGTGCGCGCATGGTCTCGCGAGAGCGGGGCAGGGCGTGGCTAGGTCGTTGTATAAAGGTTCTCCCCGGAGCACGTGATTCCTCTCCGCGGGACCGCTGCCTTACCGCCATTATGGATACCAGCCGTGTGCAACCTATCAAGCTAGCCAGGGTGAGGTGGGGGAGGCTGGTTTTGAGGGCCGGAGTGAGGAAGGAAGGGGTAAGGGGACAGGATGGGCCAGGTCTGACCCCAGCTTCTTTCTCTCAGGTCACCAAGGTGCTGGGCAGGACCGGCTCCCAGGGACAGTGCACGCAGGTGAGCTGGTGGATACAGACGTCTCGTCTGAACCATGCCTTCCCCCTTCCATGTCCCAGGCCCTGCCAGTTGGGCGTCTGAGAACTGACGTCCCTTTTATCCCAAGACTCCTGGAGGGCGCGAACCCTCACCAACGCCCTGCCTTCCGCCGGGTCTGAGCTCCAACGAACCTCTTGCTTTTGGCTGAGCGCGTCTCAACGACCACCCTGGCTCCACATCTTGCCGAGTGTGCTCCCGATCCCAACGTGCCCAGAGCTATAGTTGTCTCCCTTGGTGGCTGCTTCTGGTGCTCCAGAGCTTTGTTCACTCCGTCTCTGCCCTTTTCGGCTTTTCTCCTTGCCCAGCCCTGCCTGCCAGCCATCGTCAGTCCTCTTTTTAGGTATTTCTGGGCCGGCCCCTACACGCCCTTCGAATCCAGGTCTGCTGTCCACCCCGCAGTGTTTATCTGTGGCGGTCTCACATTCCTTTCCGTCTCTCCCCGCACCCCCCACCCTGTGTGTCCCATAGGTGCGCGTGGAATTCATGGACGACACAAGCCGCTCCATCATCCGCAACGTGAAAGGCCCTGTGCGCGAGGGTGATGTCCTCACCCTATTGGAGTCAGAGCGAGAGGCTCGGAGGCTGCGCTGACTTTGTGTCTGGTGAGTGCAGTACTGGAGTGGGGCGCGGTGGGGAGCGGACTGAGAGCCACTGCCCGTTAGACTCTTGATTGGTGGTATAGAGGTTTTGCCAAGTCCACGGGTGAGGGGTTTGGTGGGGGTGGGGATGTACAAAGTGTCTGCTGAAACTGGCAAGATGGGGGTGGGAAGTTTGACAGTTCCTGGAAGGCTTGTCAGCATCTCATGCTTGTGTGTTTCCAGGGTCCTGGATGTCTGGGTGGACCACTTGGCTCATGGGAATGACCTTCGACTGTTAATAAAGCATTTATATTGTAGGTAAATTTGAGTTCTTGTTTGGATTGTCGCTGGGCTTATAAAACCTTACAGTGAGGGCACCCAGGTGGTCACTGAGCCTTTGCATTCTGAAAATCTGAGGCGAGGTTCTTCCTCAACGAGGCATTTTCTGTTTGAGGGGAGGGAACCATATGTTTGTATGTGCCCCTAAAATGACACAAATTTAGCTAGGAATGTTTTATTAGGGAAGAAGGTTGGGCCAAGGCTAGCATCTGAACAGCAGACCCTGGCCTTTGCTGTGCCCCAGAAGCTGAGGTGGAGGAGGGAAAGATCTCTTCATCCCCATCAAAGTCCGTTGTGCCAGGCCACTCACTGAGACTGGGGGTCCTCTTCATTGTCACTGCTTCCTCTTTCACCAGGCATGGCTGTGGCAGGTTCAGGGGATGACTAGTGATAGAAAGAGGAGGGTGGGGGAGGGGCGATATCCCACAGGTTCTTGTGGGTAGGATGCTGTGGGTTTCAGCCCTCTCAGACTCAGGTATGCTTAACCTAGTGGAGGTCTTGGTCCTCTCCATTGTGGTCATGTCTGAGGAGGAACCCCACCCATAAAGTGGAACCAGGCTGCCTGGTTTGAATTCTGCCTTTGCCCCCTTTGACCTGGAAGAGGTACTTGACCTCCACATCTTCTTTTCCCACATCTCTACAGGAGAGAGCAGAATGGGTAGGCTGATTGAGTTTAACTGCAGCTGCTGAGAACAGCCTGGCAGTTGCCTTTTGAGTGTAATTCCCCCCTTGGGGACACACTGAGTGTTCCCCTCCCTATCTGCTGCTGGTAAACTCATCCAGTTTCCAGTTCTGAGGCTCTGTGCCTTGCAGGGATCCTGCATCTTCTTCCCCCACTGAGCCTAACTCTAGAGGGTCCCTAATTCCTTTGCCGTGAGTCTCTCCGGAGGCAGTAACAGGAGTTCACTGACAAAGTCTAACAGTTCTCTGATCATAGGTCACTTTCCTTTTGCAGGGCTCAGGCTCATGACCTGTAAAATGGAGTTGTGTCTCGGAGATTTAGACCCGGGTTTCCCCTCCCTGTTGCTCCCCTGGGAGCAAGGAGGCCTTCCTAGGACATAATTGGTAGCCTCCCCAGGTGTGCTGCTGGAAAGCTTGGCTGCTTAGGGCTGCACTCACCAGGGGACCAGGCTGGGCTGAGCTCAGGTGGGCATGCAGCAGAGCAGCCACCTCATCCTGCTCGGCTTCCAGGGCCATGGCCAAGGCGCTTGTGCCCTCCTGAGGATAATAGGGACAGTTAGGTCCCTGAACCAAGGCCCGAGTACCCTGCCACACCCTCCCCTAGTCCCATTGACTCACATTATCCAGGAGAGCAGGGTCACAGCCTGGCTGGGCCAGCAGCAACCGGACAGTGTCCAGGCGCCCATACTCACTGGCACACATCAGTGCTGTGGCCCCATCTGCATCTTGTGCGTTGACATCTGCCCCACATTCTAGCAGGGCTGCTACCATGTCCTGTCGGCCATGGCTGATGGCCAGCATGAGAGCTGTCTGCCCCGTCTGGGGAGTAGGAAATAAGGGGACGGGGTTGCAGTGGGCTCTGGGGGAAGGGAAGTCAGACGGGGTTGGCTCTTGAAGTGACACTTGGACTTAGGGAGGGTGTCCACGCACCTGGCTGGCCTTGGCATTGACATCACCCATGCGGAAGAGTCTGTCGACCACACTCATGTCCTCGCAACCCACGGAGGTAAGCGCAGCCAACATGAGGGCTGAGTAGCCTGCTCTATTCTGTCGGTCAACCTTGCAGACCCCTGGGAAAGAGATCAGTCGATTGAGAGGAGCCACGTTTCCTAGCCCAACCTGGTTCGCTCACCTCTTTCCCAGTGTCAGGTTTATCTGTGTAATGGGGTGGTCGCCATGGGTCATGAATTCACGGTGCCCTTTGCCTACAAGTTTTCCCCCAAAAGCTGTTTGGCTTCTCCCTCACTTTAAGGTTCTCAAATCTCGGTGAAGCCTTCCCTCGCCTCCCTACTTCAGACTGGTTTTGGGACTTGGTTTTGTTCGCTATAGTATCCCCCTAGTAACTAGAGCAATACCTGGCATGTGTTAGGTGCCAGGTATTGGTCTATCTCCCAAGCTACCATTATTGCTCCCCCAGAGAAATGTGTCAACTGATCCACCTTGGTCTGAATCCCCTCCAATTTCCATGCAGCAGCCAGAAGCAGATCCCAAGAAAGTTGGCCCAGTCTCACATTGCTCCTGGGGTACAGGCTGTTGTCCACCATGGCCTCTGAGGCTCTCTGATAGCTAATTCCTGTTTCTTTCCCTGGAATCCTCTCCCTTTCCAAGCCTGTTATTAAAGATTGAATTGTACCCCAAAAAGATGTGAAGTCCTAAGGCCCAGCACTGTGGACGTGACCTTATTTGGAAATAGGGTCTTTGCAAATGTAATCATGTTAAGATGAGGTCATCGTGATAGACCGTAATCCCATATGCCTAGTGTCCAAGGAGATAGGGTGGGGGTGATGGATAACGGACCCAAAAGGTCTGAGGATTACTGGAATTGGGGAACAGGAGATACGTTGCAAGGTGAGAGTTGTGAAGAGGGGTGCTGAGGAGTGAGGTTATGGAGGGAGCGTATGTACTGGTAACATCAGGGTCTTTGGGTGACCTTAAAAGTAAGGCTGATGTAGTCAAGGTGAAGAGAGGAGCAGCTCAGGGAACTGAAGCAAGGAGGTTAGAGGGATAGGAAAAGAAACAGCCCCTACGTGAAGGGTCATTGAGGGCTTGGTCCTGGGGGTGGTCATGTCAAGTCGGCAATGACAGTAAGCAGGTAGGGGCATAGGGCAGCGGTCTCAAACCTTTTTGGCACCAGGGACTGATGCTCTTACAAGAATCTGGTGCCTGATGATGTCCGCCGCTCACCTGCTGTGCATCCCAGTTCCTAACAAGCCACAGACCAGTACTGGTCCACAGCCCGGGAGTTGGGGACCCCTGGCACAGGGGATACTGATGATGAACTATGTGAGAACCAGAAGGTGCAGGGCAAGGTCTGGGGAGTTGGAGCTGAATGGGAGTTCAAATACAGGGAATAAAGGGGTCCCAGAAGCCTTAGGCCTCTTGCAAATGATGGCCATGCCTGTCTTGCCACCTGCCACAGCCCCAATCCTCTTTAAGGCAGATGTCCAGGAAATATCTTTCGAATTCATGCATCATTCCCTCCTCTCAAGCCCCAGCTACCTGACCAGCCCTGAGTAGCTGTGCCCTTCCTCTGGTCACCAAGACCTGCAGGGAATGGACAGATCGGTGTGTTTGGAGGAGGGGACAGGGGGCCCATCTCAGTTGCAGTTAGATTGAGAGGCCTCCAAGGGCAAGCCCTAGAGGTTACTAGATCTGAAGGAGGGAACCCAGATGGGTTCTTAGTGAGCAGTTGGTTTGTCTACTGTCCCCTCTACTGTGAGTCCCATGGGGAAAGCAGCTCTATGTGGGTGGCCCACCCCCACCCCAGCACTGCACTGGTACCTGATAGGCTCTCAGTACATGTCTGGGCTTATCAACACTTGGGGCTGTTATCAGCTCCAGAGGCAGGGGATGAACTAGTAACAAGTGAGAGAAAAATGTGAAACTGAGCAGGACCCCAGCCTGGGAAGGCAGTCACAGCCCTGACCAGTGAGTACCTTCCTTCAAGACTGGAGAGGAAGGTGGCTGGACGTTGAGGCTCAGGAACCGGGTGAGCACCAGGGTTGGAGATTGAGGGACAGTGGCATGGTGACCACTGACTGACTGCCTACTGCATGCCTGACACTGTTTTATGAGTGTTATCACAGCTGCCCAGGGAGGAAGCTAAAGCTGGTGAGATTAAATAATTTCCTTGAATTTAGGTCGACATGATCCAAAAATCTGAAATTCTCTCTGGCAGCAAAGAGTCCAGTCAGGGCAGAGCTCAGAGAAGTCAACCCATCCACGGTGGATCCTGAAACCCCCAACAAAGCGGCGGTGGTGCCATCTGCCTGGCAAACCCTTCTCTGCATGCTTCTCCAGGTTCTGCCAGCTGGGACCTGCCCAGGCCCTTCTTTCCCTGCTCCCCCCACCCCCCACTGCCTGGTGCCTTGCCCACCCTTCCTCCATGCTGACCCGTATCCAGCAGCAAGCTCGAGATGGCCAGGTTCCCATGGGACACGCTGTAGTGCAGGGCTGTGTTCCCGTTGCCATCCGCCAGGTTCACCACGTGTGCCAGCAGCTCGGGTCCCAGGCGCGCCACCGCGCTCAGGACCCCGGCTACGGGCTCCGCCCGCGAGCGCCGCTGGCTTGACACTCGAAACCACTCCTGAGCCACTAGGCGCGCCGCGCCCTGCCGAGATGGGGGAAAGCGTCAGCGATGGTCTGGGCCCGGCGGCAGGGAGGGTGTGGGGCGTGGGTGTGAATCCAGGCAGGGAAGTATCGTCACTGTTTGTCTGAGGGGGGCCGTGGGGACCCATGGGGCCGCACCCCTTTGGAGGCGGGAGTACAGTCATTGTGGGTCCCGGGATCGCGGGGGACAACGATCTTCCCCTTCTGGGGAAAAGCCTGTGGGAGATCTGGAGTGGAGGAAGGCGGTGGGCGCTTGTCTTTGGGGAGTCCGGGAGAGGGCCTGGGGCTTGGGTCTGCTTGCAGCGGGATCCTTTGGGAGAACCAGGGAAAAATCAGCTCTGTCCCTTTGGAGGGCGTGAGATTGGTAGAGGTCCCGGGCTCGAGGGGACAGAACTCAGGACTCCAACTCTAGGCAACCCAACGCGCTTCCCTTAAAGAGTCAGGGGAGGTCCCTGGCGGGCCCAGGGCTGCATCTGTGAAGGTCCGTTCTCGCACTCACGCCGTCGCGGGAGGCTCCATGCGGCTGACTCAGCTGCCGGTACAGCGTTGCACACGCCTCCCTCAATCGCGGACTCAGCTCGCACCTAATGAGGATGCCAGGAGAGGCTCAGAAGGGGTGGGGGGGGGCGGGGGGGGGGGTCCCTGGCGGGCCCAGGGCTGCATCTGTGAAGGTCCGTTCTCGCACTCACGCCGTCGCGGGAGGCTCCATGCGGCTGACTCAGCTGCCGGTACAGCGTTGCACACGCCTCCCTCAATCGCGGACTCAGCTCGCACCTAATGAGGATGCCAGGAGAGGCTCAGAAGGGGTGGGGGTGGGCGTGGGGGTGGGCGTGAGGGCTCGGGGCTGGAAAGAGAACAACCGTCCCCACTCCGTGTCTCCGGCGCCGCTCACCTCCTCTGCGCACCCGGCTGAGGCTCTGCCTCCGGCTCCGGGTCCCGGGCATTCTCGCCGCTGTGAGGGCTGGGGGTGCCAGAGTCGGATCCCCCGCCGCTGTCGTCCCCGGAGCCCGAGCTGCTGCTCCTCCTCCGGGGCTCGGCAACGTCGTCTTCGCTGTCGCCGTCTTCGCTGTCGCCGTCGCTGCCGTCCTCGCTGGATGAGCTCTCATACCTGGCGGCAGGGTGGGAGGCGTATGTGGGCTCGTTATGAAGTCCTCTGGGGGGGCAAGTGGCTATCCCCATTTCCCTGATAAGGAAACAGGCTTGCCAAGACCGCGCTGCGAGCGAGAGGCAGAGCTAGTTCTCAGCCCCTAGTCCATGTTCCCGCAGATGCTGCCTTGGGGAAAGGGAAAGTGCTCACTCTCCATTGAGGACCCCAACAAACTGTAGGCTTTTTGGTCCGGGGCTGGGCTGGGCGCCAGGTGTATTGTCTCTCCTCTTCATGATGGACTTGAGGATGCCTGCTGGAGATCAGATGAGGGCGCTGAGTTCGAGTCCCGAGGCCAGCGAGCTAGGTCTCCGCGAGGGGTCGGGACTCACCCACGGGCGCCACGGCTCTGTTCCCATCCGTGGCCCCGGGAGGGTTCTGCGTCAGGGAAGGAGCCTCCTCGGGGGGCTCCGTCTGCGTGGCCTTCTCAGCACAACACCACAGGGTCTGGGTGGCAGCTTCGCACGGCTGAAGCCGGGCAGCTGCCTCCTCCTCTGCAGCCTCGCGGGCCTCCTCCAGCTCGCGCAGCCGACCTCTGAGGAGCTCGCTCACCCCGCGCTGATGCTCCAGGCTGGTACGCAGTAGCTCCAGCTCGCGCTCGGCGGCCACCGGCAGCCCCAGCAGCGCCTCGGTAACCCATGTGTCCGCCTCAAGAGTCTCGGGGGCCGCCTCCACGCTGGCCTCCTGGGTCTCCTGCACTGCCTGGGCTCCCGCCTCTTGGGTCCCCCGCACGGACTGGGTTCCCGCCTCCCGCATCTGGGGCGCCCCGTCGGGGGTCCCCACCGCCCTGTCGACCTGGAGTGCGCCCTCGCTGCGCATCGGAGCCTCTTCGTCCGGGCCATCGGGCTGAGGGCAGGCCCTGGCACGAACGCCGCGCTCAGAGGTAGCCAAGCGCTCGGTGAGCCGCCGCAGCTGAGCGAGCTTGTCCGGGCGCGCCTCGATTTCCCCGTCGGGTTCCGGGTGCGGGCGCCTAGCCAGCAGCCTTGCCTTCTCGGCGCGCAGCGCGCGCACCTGCTCCTGCAGCTCAGGCAGCGCGCGCGCCTGGTCCTCGAGCTCGCGCAAGCGCCGCAGCGCCGTGGCCATTTGCTCGCGCACCAGCTGCAGTTGCACTGGGCCGGGCGAGGTAGGGGCGGGGTTGGGGGCGGAGCCTGGGGCTGGGCTGCTGCGGCCGGACACGCGCGGGCTGAGCGCGCGCTCGTGCGCCTGCGCCAACTCCAGCCGCCGGCTGGTCTCCAGGAGCGTGTTCTCAACTCGCGGATTGCGCACCGGCGCGCGCGGTGATAGAGGCGGCAGCAGCAGGAACCCCGTGGGCACGCCCGGGGAGAGTGCGCCCGACGCTCCCCCGTCATCACTAGCCAGGGACTCGCTGGATGTCCAAGCCCCTGGGCTGCGCGCGCCCGCGAGGCCAGCCCCGGGAGTGCGGGAGCGGCGCGCTGGTGGGGGACCTGGGGCGCGGCGGGCGACGGGACCGCGCTCCAGCTCCTCCACGTACTTGAGGAAGTCCAGGTCCAAGTGGAAGCCATAAGGCGTCTCCACCGTGTAGGGTGAGCTCGGGCTGCGGGCGCCTCCAATCGGGCCAGGGTCGCCCAGGTCTGCAGGCATGATAGGGACATGAGGGGTGTCAGGCCGGGGGATGCCGGAACGACTGGATAAATAGCGCATCCCCCACTCCACCACGACACGCCTTCCGGGCTCCACCAGCACCAAAGCTTGCACACCTGTCGTTTCGCACACGCACATCAGAGGTTCAAATGCCTATCTGCACCCAAATAGTCACACAAACACGTTTACTGAGTGTCTACTATGTGCCAAGCACTTTTCTAGGCGCTGGGGACACAGCAGCGAACAAGACAGACAAACATCCCTGTCCTCTTGTAGGAAACAGATAAACACGATCATTACAAATGGTACTTTGGGCAATAAGATGAAATAGAGAATAAGTGGAAAACTTTGGCTCTGGTTGTCAGGGCAGGTTTCCTGAGGAGGGAACTTATAAGTTGAGCCCTGAATGATGAGGAATCAGCTGGGGACATAAGGTTGCTAAAAGAAAATAGCCCATGCAAAGTCCCTGGGGCGGAGAGAGCATCAGTGGGCTGGAGTAACAGAGGGGTGGAGGTGAGGGTATCCAGAGCAGAGTGATGGAAGGGAGAGGGAAGAGGAGTAGGAGAGGTAGGCTGGGTCCAGACGGGAGGTGGGGGGGGCCTCCTGAGCCACCATGAGGAGTTGGATTATATTCCACATGTGATAGGGCGGCACAGGAGGGTTTTAATCAGGGCCAAGATATTACCTAATGGACACATAGAAAGGGCTCTCTGGCCACTATGCAAAGGAAGGAACTGCATGAAGTCTGGATCTATGCACACACATGTATCCCATTTTGTACACTCACCAGGCAACTTCTGATTCAGGGCAAACTTGGCCATGTTTCCTGGAGTAGCCACCAGACACCCTGAAAAAGGCCCCTAAAGTGGGTGAGGGGGGAGTCAGGCCCTGTTCCTCTGGCTGTGCCTCTGGGGTCAGCCTGGATTCTGAGTAAACAGACCTAAGAGTTCCTCTCCAATAACCCACCCCCACACTGCCCTCTCCTCCCTCCTCCCTCAACAGGACTTGAAACTTTTGAATGAATGAATGTGGGGACCCCTAGGTGCCAGACCTTAGCCTTCTGGGCAACAGGAGGCAAGAAGGGCACAAAAAGAAGAGAGGAAAGTGATCAAGAGAACAGAATAGCTGAGAACAGGGGTGGGGGTGGGGATGGGTGTCATTCCAGACCTGCTGAGTTTTCTGTCAATCCCTGGGGAAAATCAGAAATTAATGCTCAAAGAAGTGGAATGTGAACCTTCAGAAGAGGAAGGCCAGAGTTGGAAGCCTTTCATGGGCTCATTAAGAACTCATCTGGTCAGATTCTGCAGATTAAAAAACAACAACAAAATAAACAGGATCACTTGATTTGTTTCCTCAGACAAATGCAAACAAGATATAATTGCACATATGAATTTACCAAGGTCACTTGTGAGATCCTTGTAGGAAAGAGTTGTGGGTCAGATGCACCAGGGATACAAATCAATGGATACCTGTCTCTCTGGAATGTCTCTAGTGGAGTGCCACAGGGCTCTGCTCTTGGCTTGTAATGGAACCACAAGCCCCCAGGTTGTCAGAGCTGCAGCTATGCCTGGGGCTGGAGGGAGAGTAACTCTTCAAGTGACATGATGGAGGTTCTAAGAAACTGGGCCACATCTTATAATGTGATATTTAACAAGGACAAAATTGTGCCACATCTTATAACGTGATATTTAACAAGGACAAATATTGGCTCCAGAACTTTGATTCAGAAAGCATAGGGTGAGAAAGATGGAGCTTTGAAGAGCCCACATGAAAAACCTTCAGAGAAGGGCCTACTGTATACTCTGCCTGAATAAATGTAACTCTGTACAATCATGCAAGGTATATATTATTATTCGCATTTTCCAAATGAGGAAACTAAGACACAAAGTAAATCAGTTGCCTATGGGAAACACTCAGACTGGGCTCTGGTCTGAGCAAGGGTCTCACAAGTGACCTTGGTAAAAATTCATATGCGCAATTATATCTTGCTTGCATTTTCTGGGAACCTCTTGCCTGCCTAGCCTTCCACTGGCAGATACATGCCAGACCCAATTTGTACTCTCCCTGACCCGCTGCTCATCTGTGCTAACCAGATCTGTGCTTCCTGGTCACCCGTTCCAGCCTCTCGCACTCCTGATGACCACCTGCATGCCTGACACCAACCAGCTATTGGGCACCCATCTGTCCACCTGATTCACCCTGCTCCACTGCTGGAGGGACCCTCCCACTCATCTCCTTTGTCCAGCCTGGATCTTTGACTTCCCCCACCCCAAGGCCAGGCAGGGCCCCTTTCAGTCCCAAAGCAGCTGTTTCCTGTCCCCTCACACCAGCTGCAAAGGGCGGGCCAGCAGGACAGCCAGTCATCACAGAGGACAGCCAGTACCTCTCAGGACTTGTTTTTAGGAAGCTGCCAGAGAAGAGTTGGGTCATAGAAAAAGCCAGAGTGGGGCTTTAGGGATCCTGGCCTGCCTCACACACAGCTCACTGTGTGACCCGGAGTCAGCCCCCTCCCCAAGTGACCTAGCAACACCCAAATCTGAGGCACTAGGGACTCAAAGAACAGCTGTGGGCCATCCCTAAGACCTAAACCAGCTGTAGCAGCTGGACTCAGAGGCTGGGCTGAGAAATAGGTAGATGCTCCAAGAATGGTAAATAATAATAAAAACAATTTTTTTTTTCTATTTTGTATGGACCAGCTTCTATTCTAAGCAAATTAATTTTTTAAAAAAATTCTAGCTAAACTCTCTGAGATAGGTTTTCTTACTATCATTCTCCTTTCTCCCATTATACAGATGGAGAGATGGAGACACAGACAGATAAGTAACCTGGCCAAGGTCACATTATAGTCAAAGGCAGGATTTTAATCCAGACAGTTTTACCAGTGTTTCTGCATTTGCCACTCCACTTGATGGCCTTCCAGAAACAGCGCTCCCCTCCCCAACCTTCCCAGCCTGCAGATAGGGGGAGCAGGCTCATCCCCCTGGTGGCTCCAGGGGCTGCAGCCTCACCAGAGTGAGGGCATGCAGTTGCCCTTCTCTCTCCTCCGCTCCCTGCCCGGGCTGTCACCGCTAGATCCGGATCCTCTGCCTGGGGCCCCCTCATTAGGCCGTCAGAGCTGACTCCATACTCCCCCACTCCCGCCCCAGGGACTATTTCAGGACTAGGAGCTGTGAGCACAAAATCGGAGGGGTGGCAGACGGGGCGGGCAATGAGCATCACGGTCCAGGGGAGGGGGGCATTTTCTGGCTTGGGGCCATGGAGTGGAGTTCTCAGACCCCTGAGGTGGGAGTGGAGGCCCGACGATGGTTGGAGGGGAAGGTACTCAGATCAGGTCACCCCCTCACTGCACCCTCCCCCCGCCCCAGGACGGCCTCGCGGAGACAGAGCAGTTTCCTACAGGAAAAGCCGCCGGGCGGTTCCATCCGCTGCCCATTGTCTGCCGGCCCTGAGGTCGTCCGTCCCTCCCCCCCAACACTGTTTCCGTATCACCTCCCCCCTACACGCACACCACACCCAAATCCAGCGCGAAAGGCTCGCCCCGGGTCCCCAAGCTGTCCCGGAGGAAAGCAGGGAAAGGGTCCCGGAGGCAATTGGGGCGCCAGGGGCAGAACAAGGCCCCCGCTTGGCTTCTAGGGGCGGGAAAAGGGCGATCTCACGAATCCAGAGTCCCCCATTCTGCTCGCTGCCCACCTGAGGCGCCCGGTGTGGGAGGGAACCCAGACAGAGGACACCGTGCCCGCCCCGTCGCAGCGCTCTGAGCCCGCAAGAGGGGCTGGAAATTCATCGCCTTTCCCGGGGCGTCCCCTGATCACCCCAGGACCCGTATCTGTGCCCCCAAGCTGGCGCTTTACCTGAAGCCGAAGCCCCTGTCGCGCCCGCACCCGAGCCCGCCCCCTCGAAGCTTGGGGACGGGTTATCAAGGCCTTAAACCTAATTGACGGTCACCCCATCCAACCAGCGCCCGACACTCTCCGAACTGTCCAATGGTGAGGCGGAGAGAGCCGGAGCGGTGAGTGAGGCGTATCTGGGGGCGGGGCCTTGAGTGACAGTCCCCGAGATCCGGTGGGGCGGAGCTCAGAGCGCAGCTGCCAAGTGCGCCCAGCGCAGAGCTAAGGACCTTGGAAATGATCCACGGGACAGTAGAGAGCCGTGAGAAGACTCTGAGCGGGAGAGTCACTGGGGGCATTTGCGTGTTTGGAAGATCCTTTGCGTGCTCATGTCTCAGTGTCTGGGTGAAGTAACAGGACCCTGGATCTTCCCACCGCAGGGTCTTCGCACGTGCTGTTCCACCTTCCTGAACTGTCTTCCCTGCACATGTTTCTCCTACTGGTTTCAGCGCCACTAAGACAGGGAGTTGATTGATTTTGGTAACTGCTTTATCCAGTGCCCCAGGCACACAGTCAGTGCTCAGTAAATGTTCGTTGAAAGAATGATTTAAAATTACATTTAACATTTGAACCCGTTTGGAATATATTATGATCTAAAGTGACTGTATAGACTGTTTTTCCCCCCTGATCGTTTTAGCACTTATTGAGCACCGACTGTGTACGTGGCACTGTGTAGGTCCCTGAAGGGACACAATTCCTGCCATCCTGGACCTCGAATCTCAGAGACAGAGACGTATTTTCAAGCCAAAGTTTATCGTAGGGGGTTGACAGGTGGAAGTTGGAGTCTGTGAGAGGAGAAAGGAGGGCCAAATCCCTGACCTGAAGGGTCTGGGGAGGCAGGCTGCAGGGCGACACTTAAGGAAGAGTGCTCCAAATAGGAGAAACTAGACGTGCAAAAGAAGTAGGAACTTCCATATATGGGAGACTTTGAAAAGGTCAGTTTGTTGGTGGGAGGACCTGGAGACACAGGCAGGAAAGAGTATGTGAAGCAGCTCAGATTTTATCTGACCAAATGGAGCCCATGCGGAGGCACGTTATTGCATTCCAGATTCCTTTCTCTATTATTCGTTCCAGTGCCACTCTGCTTTAACTACTGTAGCTTTAGAATATATTTCAATATCTGATGCTCCTCTTTTTACAAAAATTTTGGGCTACTCAATTGTCTTTTTTTCGTGCAGATAAACTTTATGTAGAATTCTGTCGAGTTTCTTCATGAAAACTCCATTGAAATTTTAAAACTATTCTTATTGTAAAATAAAATGCAGGCACACAGAGCCAGACTCGAGAAACCATATAAAATAAATGTAAAGCTTAAGGAGTATTGAAGGGAAGTTCCCAACCACGGTGATTTTTGTCCCTTGGGAGACATATGGCAATATCTGGAGACATTTTTGATTGTCGTGATGGAGTGGGGGGAGGGCTGTTATTGGCACCTAGTGTATGGGGGCCAGGGATGCTGCTAACCATCCTACAGTGCACAGGGCAGCCCCCCAAACAAATGATTATTTGGCTTGAAAATCAATATTGCTGAGTTCGAGAAATGCTGCTGGGAAGTGAACATAATTATAACCCCTACCCAGGTCGACATATTGCCAGCTACCCCAGAAGCCCCTCCATGCACCACATCCCAGTCACAAACTGCCTCGTTACTCCACAAAGTAACCACTGTTGTGGCTTTTGTAATAATCACTGCCTCACGTTTCTGAATAGCTTATCACTCAAATATGAATCTCTAGACACTGTAGTTTAGTCTTGCCCATTCAAAAAGAAAATGATATGTCGTTTAAGTGTCTGTTAATTCCAAGGTTCCCCTTTCATCCCTTTCCTTTCCTTATGATAAATCAGTTGCACAACTCAGGCTGTTTGTCCTAAAGTGTTTCCCATGGTCGGGGTGTCGCTGATTCCACACTCATGTCGCAGTTCAGTATGTTGCTCTGTCCTCCGTACGGCCTGCAAATTAGCAGTTTGTTCTAGAACGGGGGTCAGACTCAGGTTTGATTCCTTTGGCACCACTGTGAGTAGTGTTATGCCCTTCACCAGGAGGCTCATATTCTTTAACTGTCCTTCTTTATATGAGGCCAAGCCACTGATGTTTGCAAAATAGTGACCTTCCTCCAGCATTCCTACCCGTTTATTAGAATTCTTCCTTTGCCAGATGCTTCCCCTTACTTCCTGTGTGTTACCCAGAGGAAATTGCTGTGGGAAAGGCAAGACAAGTGCTTGCTTCTTTCACTTTATATACCAGTTTTCAAAATAACAAATAAATTTCCCACCATCCTCTGAAGGTGATAAATTAGGCTTTTATTGTTTTTTAAGTCATCGTGAGCTTATGGATTGAAATACGTCGTGCTCCAACCCCTTGTACTTATCCTCATCGATGGACTCACCTGGCCAGTGGGAGTCTCTGCAGGTTGAAACTTTTTGAAGTGACTCTGGTAGTCTCTGACAGTTTTCTTGCTCTCTCATATGTTCCAGGCTCATCTTGGACATATTCTATCCCAGGCTTGGCATCTAGCAGAAACTCTGGTGGTTTTTTTTCGGTGGGAAATATACTAGTTAGTGTGCTAGGAATGCTCGTTTGCTGTAGGGTTGGTCATTGTATCTAGACTTTTTCAGTGAACAGAGCTAATTGGGGGAATGTATATATTATATTACATCACATGACTATGACATATATCATATATATCATAATGAAATAATATAATGTATAATAGTATTATGA